ATTTAAATCATGCATAATATGTTCTCTAATTAACATATTATGTTAATCTAATTAAATTAGAGATCAATAACAGAAAGGCATTTGAAAAAATCTCCAAATGATAGGAAAGTAAACAACACACTTCCAAATAACCCATAAGTCAAAGGAGAAATTTTAAAAGAACATATGTATTTTGATCTGGCAGAAGAAGAAAGATTAAATATCAGTATCTCCTTAAGACAAAAGAAAAAGAAAAGATTAAACCTAAAATAAGCAGAAGCAAGGAAATAAAAATGATAAGGCCCTAGGAGAGGGAGTGAAAGTGACAACTTAATGAATAGTTTCCTTTTGGGGTGATGAAAATATTTCGAAACTAAATAAAGGTGATGCTTACACACCAATGTACTAAATACTACTCAATTGCATACTCTAACATGGTTAGGTTTATATGCTAAGCAAATTTTTCCTCAATAAAACAAAATGATAAGAATATAAAGAAGTGATATAGAAACTGATTTAAAATTGAGAAAACCAATGAAACCCAAAGCTAGACACAAATTATTAATATCAGAAATAAAAGATGGAATATAGTTGCAGACCCAACAGATATTAAAAGAATAGTAAAATCATATTTTGAACAACTTAATGCAAGTAAATTTTAAAACTTAAACAAATTTCTTGATAGATATAAATTATCAAAGCTCACCTGAAAATGAAGAGATGGGCGGAAGAGTCCTATATCTGCTAAGTAATTGAATTCATAGCTTAAAACTTTCCCTTAAAGAAAACTCCATGCCCAGATGGCCTCACTGTTGAGCTAAACCAAACACTTAATGAGAAAATAATACTAATTCTACACAAAATAGTTCAGAAACTAAAAGGGGAGAAAAATTTCCCAAATCATTCTATGAGATCTGGGTTAGCTCCGATACTAAAATTGTAAAGGCACTAAAGAAAACTACACAGCAATATTTCTCATAAATGTAGACACCAAAATTCTTAGCAAGGTATCAGAAAATTGAATCCAGCAATAGATTTTTAAAAATAATACACTATGATTAAGTTGAATTGATCCTAGGAGTACAAGGTTACATTAACATTCAAAAGCCAAGTGACATTCTGGTTAGGTAACAATTGTTTAGAAAACAAAAAGCATAAATGATGAAAAATAAAACTGATAGACATTCTCAAATTAAAGACTTTTTTGTAAAGACACTATCAGGAAAATGAAAAGGCAAGCCACGAACTGGAGAAAAGGTTTGTAAAACATGTATCAGGGACTTTTATCCACAATATATTTTTTTAAAGCCAAATTTTTACAAGTCAGTAATAAGAGAAACAACTCAATACAAAATGCACAAAATAACTGAATATAGTATTCTCTAGAGAAGATCTATGAATTGCCAATAAGCACATGAAAAGACTCTCATGATCTTCGGTCATAAGACAAATAAAAATTAAAACCAAAATGAGATACCATTACACACAAACCAGAATGGCTGAAATTAAAAGGACTGACAATACCACTATGCGAAGTGAAAAAATTCATTGATGTAAAATTCTTGAAATGGCAAAACTATAGTAAAAGCATATCAGTGATGGCCAGGGATTAGGACTGAGAGGAGGGGAAGGTGCGAAAGAGCACAAAACAACTTTTTAGGGTGAGGAACTGTTCTCAGTCTTGGTGTGGTGGTGGTTGCTTGACTATGTAATTGTCAAAATTCACTGAATTATAGTTTTGAAATGGGTGAATTGTGATGGATGTAAATTACATTTTAATAAAGCTAATTTGAAAACATATGAAAGATGCACCTTGAAAGGAAAATAATCTTCACATAAAACAATAGTTGTAGGTGTCAGGAAAGCAACTTCATAATCCTGTAAAAATCTTGAAATCAAAACACCCAAGGACTTTTAGTTCACCTTATAATTTCATGTTAAGAATTAATTTTGAGACCCCACAACAATCCCTAAGAAAGGTATTCCCTTATTTTTATACAAAATTATCCTTTGCCCAAAATATATGTATGAGCACCCATGTCTTATCTATAATTATTTGATAAGAAATATTGGTTACATTTTTCTAGTAGAAAGTTTTTAAAATATACCAGTTTCAAGCCTTATCAATTCTAATTTTCTTAGAAATTCAAATGATTTTCTAACAGTTTGTCAACAAGGTGTATATAGGTGTATACATATATAGGTGTATATATATGTATACAGGTATAAGGTAAAGCACAGCATTTCTCCCTAACATGTGTTTCACAAGTTGGGATTTTTGCCTAATGGGTTGTATACAATTTGGACATTTATCAGATCTAAGAAAACTTAGCTCTTTTTCAAAAATATATTTTAAGTATTAGATTTTGGAGAAAACAGAATGAAATATTAAATGAATATTATATATATTATATATATTTATATGTGTGCTATTTATATCTAAATATATATTATACATCTAGATATATATTCATGATATATATGTACATATTCATAAGATAGATATCTAATGGATATATATCTTGAAATAGTTGATAGATAGATAAATAGATAGATAGATATCTTAAAATCAGTCCCTAAATTAGAACTGGAGTTACCAAAAGTAATTTGTATATTTTAAATACATTATTTTAAATTAATGTTTAAATAGTGTTACTAAAAAACATCATAAATCTGAAATACACTCCATATTTAAAGTAGGTTGATTATAAAATAACAAAACTGAAGAATAAGTAGTTTGTCTTAAGTGCTGTTCTTGAACATGAGAAAAACAACTTTGTAGATGACATCTGTGGATATTCTGCAAGAGATCTTTAGATGTTCTCAGCAGCTTTAAAAGTCAATAATGGCTCCATATGAAAAAATTCACAACTTATGCCTTTGTATGTCCTCAAGCATTCTCCTATAGTTATCAATATAGTTATACAATAATCCAGGTAGAACTCCCCACTCCACCAACTAATAAGCACAAATACAATTAACAGAAAGAGAAAGAAAGAGGAGATAGATGCTACAGAGAACAGGTATATATAAGACAGATTATTTGAGATGAGATTATAGACTATGCTGGAAAGTGTAGAGAAGGAAAGAGAGAAAGAGGAAGGAAGGAAGAAAGAAGTAAGAAAAGGAAGGAAGGAAGGAAGAAAAGAAAGAAGGAGGGAAGGATGGAGGGAGGGAGGGACTAAACATTAATGCAATCTCCCAAAAAGATTTAGGGAATTCTGTACTCAAGATAAAGAAAAAACAAACAAATAAGAAACTTGCATAGAATATTTTGTCAAAAAAGGATTGCCCAATACTTGTAGGAGAAAGTTGAAATAGAAAAGAAAGTTGTGTAGGGAATTCATGATAGTCACGCCATTTGATTTCGGCCCTGTACTTCTGTCTAATAGCAAGGGGGCTGAAGCCCAGCTGTGGGGTTCAAATCCCAGCTTGGCCTTTTGCTGCTATGGGACATTAAGGATATAATTTATCCTTTTTCTATCTCGTTTTTTTTTTTTTTTTTTTTTTTTAAAAAAAAAAACCTCTCCAGGTGAACCTAATGAAAGACTAGGTTTGGGAGCCTGTGGATGAGATAAAAGTCTAAGATTCTATAGTTATATTTCGTGGTTGTTGTATTAGACTGTTCTTGCATTGCTTTGAAGAACTACCTGAGACTGGGTGATTTATAAAGAAAAGAGGTTAACTGACTCACAGTTCTACAGGCTGTACAGGAAGCATGGCTGGGGGAAGCCTCAGGAAACCTACAATAATGACAGATGGCAAGGGGAAGTAGGCACGTCTTACATGACCAGAAGGAGGAAGAGAGAAGTGGGAGGTGCTATACACTTTTAAACAACCAAATCTCATGAGAACTCTCTCAACATCACAAGAACAGCAAGGGGGAAATCCGACCCCATGATCCAATCACTTCCCACCAGGCCTCTCCTCCAACACTGAGGATTACAATTAGACATGAGACTTGGGCAGGGACACAAATCCAAACTAAAGCAGTTGTACACAGCAAACCACCATGAATTCAAAGTAAATTAGATACTTGGAAATATTTTCTGTCCTTCAAACTATATTGCAGCTGCTATATACATAGAAGTTTTTCAATAAATATTGAATAATTCAAATAAGACACTTATTTTAGAGAAATAATTCTTATTCATCTGGAACCTTCCACAACAGAATCTTATTTTTGTATTATTGATGCACTATTTTCCACATATGTACAAAATTGTATGCATATGTAATAACTCATTTTTACTTCTAGGAAATTCCCAGACCCACTACTATAATAATACTCTAAGTAGGGTATTTTATTTATATGTAAACACAAGCTGAGATTTTTTTTCTGCATCTATAAAATGAAGATGTGACCAGGCCTCTCATACAGAGACACTGAAGGTAATGATACTAATAATCCCTATGATGGTAGCAGGCAAAGTTTTCATAATCAAAATCAACAAAAAATAGCCGAACCCTTGGCTTGCAGGGATAATATTTCTTTTCTTATTGTCAGGCTTTTGCTTCTTCTATATAAATAAGAAAGGTTTAGCATGTTATTCCCAGATATTCTGCACCCAAAGGGAAACGTTGTACTTATTTCAATAGGAATTTGACCTTTGCTTTAGGTGAAACCATCAGAGCTCTTGGATGAGAAGCTCATCTTTCTGGCCCCTGAAGCATTGTTCATTTATACATGACTACATTTCATCTGTCCTTAAACCTTAAGTGGGGGTCAATAAACACAGTTGTTTGACTTGGACAGTACAACTCTTATATTCCTAGTGACATTATAACTACTTAACAATTCTCCTATGACTTTAGAACCTAATAAAATCCATTGACAAAACATAAGAATAAACAAAGTATACCTCTCAGGTAGGCCTGTCAGAAAGATGTAGGCTTAAATTTACACTGCAGCAGTTGCAAAGCTTGGAGATACAGGTATTAGGGTTCTCACAGCAGTCTAGCTAGAACACTATTGGGGGATAACTGGGCAATTATAAAAGAAGAGTCATCACCATGCTAAGTTTAATTGTGACCAATTTTATTTTAGAACTGCATTGTTGGGTGCTTTATGGTAATGTAGATTTTATTCAATATTTATTTTTGCATATTTTTTAAAAATTCCCAAAGTGGTGCTTTTATACACATCTTCCCAATAGTAGTCAAGTTTGGAGATGATTTATACTGTAGCCTCAAGGATGCAAGAACAATGAAGTAAATCACAATTCTGGGTAGGTTTTTACAGATATCTGCTACCAAGACAAGGAAAAAGCTCAGGGTTTTCAGTCCCTTTAAATAGTTCTTCATCTAACGCAAGAGAAATAAACTTTGAAAAAGTTCCATTTTCAACCCCTCCTCTGACTTTTTAAGTTGTAGGACTCATGCAGTTCATATTTGTTGCTGTTTTAGGCACTGCTATAAGTACCAAACTATAACAGACTCAAGAAATCCAGTTTTTCAATATAATTATTAAATAGTTCTCAAAATAACCTTATGGAAGTTACACTGTCGGAAGGATGGTGACTTGACATGTGATGCACTAAACATGCACAGTTTTTAAATTCTGCCTTGTCCTAAACATCATATAATCAACCAAAGCCTAGATTTGATAATGGACCTCAACAAGGCTCACATTTGAGAAATGAAATAACAAAGATGAATAGATTTATAGGTTCATCATATCAAAGAGGTAATCATTTGTGACTTTCCAACATTTTAAAATAAAAGATTGTATAACTTTACTCCATTCAACTAAAATGTGGCTTGAAAAAAACATAGCATTCTGGATATAAAGCATTCTGTTAACATTGCGCTTCAGTACCTTGCTTTATTATTATTATTTTTTGGTATGTTTGCATGTTGCATCCAGAGCTACAGATTTTCCACAGTGCTTTTCTGCCTCATTCAAGTATAATAAAAGTAGAAATCTATAGAAGCTCTAAGGTTAAACAAACTGTACATCATACAAAAAATTAACTTAATTTACACAGTCAAAAAGTATTGGCAATGCCCTTTATAAATCTTATCAAAGATGCATCACAAAGGATACTACAATCCACATATGTGGTCATCAGCATACAAATGCCATTTTGATTTAGGTGGTACAGAACTGAGTATCTGTTAAATGTACACATGTAGAATCAGCAATTTGTACCGTATATATTTCTTTTAAAGTAACAGTATTGTCAATCTAATCTAAGGTACAGGATTTTCTTATTGCATATTTATTGTTGCTGAGGCAGTTAGTTATGATACAATAACATAATATCCATAATAATTTTAAATAAACAAAAACATTTCTCCTGGCAACAATATAAAGAATATATTTTTTCTAAAATCAATGAGAACATCGCTACATACAGATTTACTCAAATACCAAAAAACATGACCTTAAGGCATCTGCCAGAAAAACAGATGTACATATTTATATGAACTAAATTATGCAAGAAAAATTATTGCACAAAATCCTATTATTTTCAAAATAAAATATTCTTCTGTCTAAATGTACATAATTCCTTATTTCTTCATCAAATCATGTTAACTGGCTTGCTCAAAACCACTCTGCCTCTTCTTAAATAAGGTTTAAGAAACATTCACTGACAATATTACTGGGCTTGACTCAGGAAAGACATTAGTACTGACATAGGGTTTGCAAAAACTATTTCCTACATTAAGAAGTGCTTTGGAGGAAACTAGATTTGAGGATTCATTTCACATTCTTAAATATTCTGATTTACAAATATCTTAAGATTCAGGGTCTTTTATGCCAAACAAAATGGAATTTGTGTAAGAAAATTTATTCATGAAAATAATCAATCTTTTCCTGAAAATCCACATTTTCTACCAGAGAATGAAGGTCTATTGATTATGAGACATTTCACAGTGTTCTCCTCTTGATCAGGAGTCTACTTCTTCACCTTAATTAAGAAACAATTCATTAGAATTCCTGAATCCTATTATTAGGATATTCTCATAGAATAGCACTAGTAACAGCAGTCACACACAGTTTTTATTTAGAAGGGAGGGACTTTTTCTACAGAATGCTGTTATTAATATAAAAATAGTAAAAATTGGATTCCCATTAACATGCATCCACACCTTCAGTTACTCCTAAACTGAGTACAGTGGCTCTAAGTATTGAAAAGGAGCATCATTCCACTATAGAGAGCCCTGTGCTGCCTGGTTATCTGATAATAAGATAAACAAAGACACTCAGTTTCTAAAGGAGTCTCTGAATCTGCCCTTTAAATGTGGGTATCTTAGCAGCATAATATACTTAGCATAATAATTGAGAAAGTTAATGAAATTAGAAATGATACTATGGTTCATACTTAGAGCATGCTTTAAATTAAGCAGCTAGCTTTTTTTTGTTTTTGTTTTGTTTTTTTAAAATACTTTGTATGTGTATGTTAGAATCTCAGCTAATAACTTCCAGGCAAAGCACATTATTATCATTATTTTAATACAAATTTGCAATTCCTTTTCCTTTTAATTTATTCCTTCAGAGCAGGGGCTATGTCAGTTATTTTATTCCCCACATCCTCAGTTACTGTACCCTGCATATGACTGGTACAAAAAGCAATGAATAGTTTTTAAATGAACATGTTATTAATGAATTTTAATTAACTGAAAAAACAATCATGCTATATTTTGCTGCTTTTCTAAGACATGCTAAAGTAGATAATCATCAAAATATACCACTTAGTAATATTTTCACTTAAAAAAAACAGCTCCTAAATTCCAATACTATTTCTCTATACCCCTGAAATATCACGGATGCAATATGTAAGGGTAAAAAGAAAAAAGGGAGAGTGGGATTCAGAAAGAACCATGACTCTATTACAGGCCAGATAAAGACTATGTACTAACGCCAGAAGTCTTTTTAGTTTATACAATTCTGTTATATAACTGGTGTTGCTTCTTTGAAAAATAATTTCAAAAAGCAGAGGAGCTTACAAATATTTGGTTTAGTTACTATAGAAAATATGGGCACTGTAGAATATAAGATAACACTTTCTTTTATTTTGGAACTCACCCCAATTTAACTTCATTCTCACTATATCCACCATAATACTAGGAAGTCTAAGTTTAAGAGCAGACTTTGAACTGGTTTGAAATACAAATATTTGGTAGTATTATTCTGGATAATTTTAAGAATAACATGCAGAATTTTTTTTTTCTGCTTTTGCTTTTAAAACAGAATAAAACCACTAATTTTGCATCAAAATAAGGCACGAATCACTTTTAAATACCTTGAGACAATTATTTATGAGTGGCTAAATATCCTCAAAACAACACAGTATTATAACCAAACACCTTGAAAGGTGGCTGAAAAGTAGCACAAAATTTGGATTTCTGAAGCCATGATGTCGATTAAGCAAATGGACTAAAAACCAAGATTGACCTATGCTACACTTATTCTTCAGACTGAGTTCTGAAAAAACAAAACAAGAAACTGTACCTCATTTCAAAATCCATATGAAAAGGCTGATTTGCATTCTTTTCACAAATTATGAAGGAATATTTGCCAAGCAGATTAACAACCAGAGTAACCTTCTTTCCTTGATTTAAAACAGCTCTTTTGCTATATGGACTTCTTCCATTATAAACCTCAGTAAAGTAAGTTATAATTTTGTAATAAGCTTATAAAGGCAACATTTGACAAGAACCTTGAGCCTTCTGTATTAAAAAATAAGGATTAAACATTGTTTTCCTTAATGTATACAGTCCATATTTATAAGGGAAACAAGACTTGTCGTCTTATTCATAATGAATAAGTGTCCCAAATAACACATATCCATTTAGATTTTGAAACATAGGTTTTAAAGAAACTTGGTCATTTTCTTTAAATTATTTCAAACCCTCTTCTTGGATTTTAACTGAAATTATATTCTTTCAATAAATATTTAGAATATAGTCTTATTGGGGTTCTTTAATGGTTTCTTGAAAGTATTTTGTTTTTGTAATGTTGTAATGATTTCTTGAACATATTTTCTAAAAAGAAATGTAAAAAAAATCAGGTATACAGTGGATATACTGAAAGTGCTAATAACAATTTAACCATACTGTCACTGCTTTTTTCCCTGATTCTACCTGTTAATCCAGTCTATCATGAAGTCATCAGTACATGATTCCTTCTCAGACGAATTCCAAAGCTCAACAGTGAATCTGAGAAAGAAGAAACAAATTTTCTATACAGAATTCCCAATAATTTATGTAGATACTTCTCTGCCCTAAAGAAGGGGAATTATGACTCCTCACTCCTGCATGTAGTGACTTCCTTCAAAAACGACAGCATGGAAAGGACAGGAAGAACTTTAGAGTGACAAACGCTACCACCTCAGCCAGGTTATCAAGCTCCGAGTCAGCATTCACACATCATGTTGACAGTACATATCCTTGATATGACCTGATGAAAATGGCACTTTACTTCTGTGATCATCTCCTCAAAACCCATAATCCCAGTCTAATCATGAAAAAAATATCCAATAAACTCCAAGAGAGGAGCAAGCTACAATTTATCTGACAGTACTCTTCAAAGCTGTCAATGTTATCAAAAATAAGCAAAGTCTAAGAAACTGTCACAGGCAAGAGGAGCCTAAGGAGACATTCCAACTCAATATAATGTGGAATTCTGAATAGGATCTTGATGTGGAAAATAGATATTAGGAGAAAACTAAGAAAATTTGAATGAAGTATGGACTATCAATATTGGTTCATTAATTGGGGCAAATGTACCATAGTAACGTAAGATGTTAATAACAGGGGTAGATGGGAACTCTCTGTACTATCTTTGCAATTTTTCTGTAAATCTAAAACTTCTAAAATACCAAGTCAATTATTTTAAAAACTAAATTTGAGATGATAATATGAAGCATTTTGATAGAGAATTATTAGTTAAAAAAGATTTTTTTTTTTTTTTTTGGTCAGGACAGTTTATGTTGTATTTGGCTTTCTTGGGGTGGGCCCCTAAATAGCAAAGGCATACAGAGAGACTGTGAGAACTTGTTAGAGTGTCTCATTTGTAAACAGAAGTCATTAACTTCACATTGAAATTCAGTACTTCCTATATTTCACTGAATGAAAGGTAAATGTATACTTTTATACTTATTGGAAAACACAGCTACAGTGCTTTTATAAGCAAATTAAGTATTTCCATAAGAGATTTTTAATCTTGAAAAGATGAATTTTGACCTTGATTTGATGAACAGAAAAAGGCATTATTGCTCTGCAGAACACTAATAACTTATCTTTCAAACTTTACACATACTTTCATACATTATTTAAGTATGCTTAATACAGCTTTAAGATTAAGGCAATTAGTGGGTTAACAGTTTCATCAGTTTCAGGCTAGTTTTGATAAGTTTTGATATCTTGATCAGTTCATGCTCAACCAGATTAGTATAGTAGCTACTGGTTATGTGCATGGGTTATATATGCATACTTAGTTTAAATAAAATGAACGGCATTAAGCACCAAACACTGGGAAATCTTACGTTCAATACATACTTTTAACATACATACACACTAGTACCTGATTTAAAAGCACAGTAGAATTCGCTTTATATTTAAAAATCAATGCATTTCATATATCCTCAAAATGAACAAGTGAGGAAAGTGTTCCAAATGCAAAAAAAAAAAAAAAAAAAAAAATTAAATAGTAAGAGTTGCCATTCCTACAAATAATTCTGTTTATGATGCAGATTGCATTGAATCTCAAAATGTCTCCATAGAAGCTTGGATGCAAGATTTAAGCTTGGTTTCCATTTGTGTTTTTGTCTGAAATGTTCAAGCTTTGTTGGAAGTCAGATGTCATATGACATAATGATACTACTTCATGGAGCAGTCCAATATCTTCTGAAGTCTCTTTGGCTTCTTTCCCTTCTTTCTCCCAAGGAACAAAAGTCGATGAATGCCGCCCAAGACCAGGTATAAGCAGATCATCTGAAATCTGGGTTAGTGTTTCCCTGTTTTCTGTTTTTCCTTTATCAGTCTGGGAAACTTCAGGGGAAGTGAGTTGGAAATCCAATCCTGAAGCAGGGTCACTCACATTGTCAGCACTGAGGTGCTTGTCACTGTTTTCTTCTTTCAGGATAAACAGAGAATCTGTCAAACAACTAGAGGAAACCCGCTTCCTGGGAGATGGAGGGAGGTGTTTGCCATGGAGGGCACTATCATCTTGTCCAAGATTCCACTCTGCTTGGTCACCAGAACCACTGCAGAGGAAAGCCAGGTTATTCTCACTAGGAGCATTAGATTTATTCTGAAAAAAGAAGAAACAACAAATTCAGAAAACTTTTAATAAGCATTAATTTAGTACTTTTTTTCTCATTTTGAAATACATGTTAATAGCGTTAAGTTCCTCTCAGAGAAAATACAGCATTGAGAGTTAATTTTACACACTTCCAAATGGCTCTATTAACAGGGATGAAATGGAATGGACTTTGGTTTCCATGGCCTTGCAGCTGTCACCTATCAAATTCAAACTAGATTATATAATTAATGCCAAGTTCTGAAGTCACTTACAATAAGAACAGGATTGTCATTACTCATACTTCTATCTCTGCTGTTTTTATAGCATTCAGTTGAATTTGCATAAAACAATGTTAAAAAATAAAATCATGTTCATTTTTGGGTAAGAAAAAATGATTTGAATGAATACATTTAGTGAATTTTTTTGAAAACTCAGGAAATATAGGGAAAAAGTGAAAACATTTCACATTTAAAAAATTCCCCACAGACAAGTATAAAATTAGACAGCAAGAAAACATTATTGCTTGACAAAATAATTATGACAATAACCACCAGAACTAGATAAATGAAAGGGAAAATACTAGAATTTTATTAATAGAAATAATTTCTAGTGATTAAATTTTATCAAATTTTTGAAGTTTTGACCCTTACCTATTTAGAGGCTAAATGCTTCTACCAACAAAGATTATAAGATCCAGAATGACAGCAAAGGCAAGAATATTTTCTTCTAATTTTACAAGTTAAAAAAATCTACTAACCGTAGGTTTATAATCAATGTCATCCATTGATCTAAAGAAATCCAAGCTCTTTGCAGCTGCCAGCTTCCCCTGATCTGAGCTGTGTGTGCTCAATGTATCAAGAATCTCTCCTAGTAAGTCCATTTCACCTGAGTAAGGAGTCTTCACTCTTGTTTCAACAGAGTCATCACTCTCATAAAGATAAGCAGAAGCTTCTTCACCATCTTCAGAAGATAACCTGAAGAAAAATAAAACACATAGTAGTAGATAAATAACCATATTTACTGCATGTAAGTAATCTCTCACCAATTACATTACATTAATGAGTTAACAAAATCAATAATTGGTTCATGACCAAATTCTTTATAGTGATATGCATACCAATTCAAATATGGAAATATTTTATACATGCATTAAGAGCAAGTAAAAAGTTTACAGTACCTTAGGAAACTGAAAGTAGAAGTAGGGCTTTTCACAGTTTAATTCTGTGGAATTTGGGACCCTAACTTCAGGAATATTAGATTGAACTACTTGGAAAGTTTGCTATAGCCTAAATTCACTTTCCATATTTAATACGGTTTTCCTTTATTTATTCACTTATTTTAGAGGAGAATGCACATTCCTTTACGTAGACAGAGATATATTTAATGAAGAAAAAGAATGTTCATTTTGTCATTGTCATATATCAATTGCAAAAAGCTAAACATATATTTCCCTTATATTAAAATTAATTTTTAACTTTTTATTAAATTTTCATCTTCTGATATCACCATAAACTTGTCTCCTGTACCCTCAATTCCATTTCTTTCTATTGACTATTATCACCATTCCCGATATTTAACCTTCCTTTCTTCAGAATGAGTAAGAGCCTAATTTAGATGGGCTTCTATTGCCCCTTTAACACTATCCCAGGTATCTCCGTAGACATTATTGCTTTCCAAGAACAAGATATTTAAGGTCCATCTTAGTTTCCTGTCCCAAGATATCCCCCACAACATTGCAGAGCACTGCAAGGTCCTTTTGCTGAAGAACACTGTAAAAGGGCAACATCTGAGCTCTAGGAGCGCATACTCTTGAAAATACCCTTTATTACCAAAAACTTCTGCTGTTAAGCCATACCACTTAATAGGACACCAAAATCTATTACTTACTTGCTTGCTCTTTCAATATCATCATCATCATCATCATCATAGAGAGCACCGTCAAGGCTCTTAAGAGGCCTTTTTAAGCGTGCCTGGAGAGAGATTGACAATAAATTGGCATTGGCAGTTTAAAATAAGGCTCTTTAGCAAATTTTAAAGAAACAATGTGATTTGATAAGAAACACTTTTGCAAGAAATATGCACTCAGGGTTTTTGAATATTACCCAATAACCTGACAAACTGGGACAGGAAGAAAGGGAAGCAATAAGGTATATTTATCTCAACACTTACTAACTTCTCAAACCAATAAAAAAAAATACAAAAAAACCCACAAATCACTGGATTGAATACATATGCACAGTCACACAGACTTTCAGGCCCTGATTTAGGAATACTTGACTTATACTCAATCATACCCCCATGCACCCATCACCCAGTTTCAACAATTACAGTATTTGTCAATTTTGTTTCTTTTATCCCCGGCCCACACTCTCCTCTACCCCAAGCATTTTAAAGCTGTGCTTCTCCAATCTTAATGTGCATATAAATCACTTAGGGACTTATAAAAATGTAAAAGTGTAGATTCTGGTTCTATAGTGTTTCTGAGTCTGAATTTCTGCATTTCTAACAAGCTCTTAGGTAAAGTCAGTACTGCTGAATCTTGGGGGGGTCACACTTTGAATCATTAAGTTTTTGAAGCAAATCCCAGGCAATTCACCTGAAGTACTTCACTATGTATTTTTAACAACTTTTTAAAAAAACATAACCAAAACGTCATTATCATACCTAGCAAGTTAATAACTGTTCTTTAATATCTTATATTACTCAGGCCATATTCATATTCCTCTATTTCTCCCCAGATTTTTTAGTATGCTTCTTTCGACCAGAATCCCAACAAAGTTAATGTTGTATTTGGTAGATATTTTTCTCAGGTCTCTTTCAAGGGACTCAGTTCAACCTTCCCTCTCCTATAAGCCATTCATACCCTTTAACGTGTTATCCTGTCCTCATTTCCTATAAATTGGTAGCTATATCTGGAAACTTAGCCTCAGTTTCTTTTTCATCTTCCTTTGTTTTTGGCAAGAATATTACATAGGTATTGATATGTGCATTTTTACTTTATGATATGTGTAGGTACATAATGTTTAAATATCTCATTTTTGGTGGTACTAATTTTCATTAATGACTTCAGGTGTGATTCGTTGAGCCATCCATTATACATCTCATTATCAACTTTTGACTTGAAGGTTTTTAGCATTCCATGATAACCACTGGCTAAATCCACTATTTCATTAGGGGCTAAAGAATTATGCTTTTCTAGAGCATTCCTTCTATATTTATTTGCTGGCATTCTATAAAGAAGAGCTTTACCTTATCAACTGTTTGACTATTCCAAAATACAATGTACAGGAAAGGCAGGACAAATCCTTGATTTCTTTCCTTTTAACAATTTTCAGAGTGATGACCTAGCTAGTGTCCTAACAATCTCCAAAGGCAAGTCATGAGCGTTTTTTTAAAATTTCCATTATTAATAGATACTTAATGTTGTTCAACCCACCACAATTCTTCTTCTTGATGTTCAAATTGTTCCATCTTTGAAATATTACATGATTGTTTTTAAAATAGTCCTTATCTTTTAGAGCTATATCTTGAAATAGTCTCAGATTAAATGATACGCTTTGGGGTATTCATTTCAAAATAATTTAATGATGGAGAAAGAGCATAGGTGAGGCTGTGACTGAAATAAGATTGGCCATGAGTTGAGAATTGGTGAAAGCTACATGAAAGGTTCCTGGGGATTTTTATAAGCTTCTCCTTCCTTCTGCATAGGTTTGAAATTTTCAAAATAAAGGGGGTTTTTTTTGTTTTTTAATGACCCCATCTGTTACCAGTGGTAGCCCTTTCAAGTTGATTCCTGTGTCCTTTGACATAAACTCAGAAGTGGTTAGTAAGCTTCCTGGTTTTGGCACAATAAGATGTCTCACTTCAACTTAGAATTTTTCTGCATCAAACCTGGAATCAGCCATTTCTTCTAAAAAAACCTGATTTCTTTAGATGGGAAATGGCATTTAAAGGTTCCAGTCTGGGTGCTATGGGTGCTCATGGCTGCAAACCATCCTTCTGAATGAACAACAGTAAACTTGAATTTGGAGACTTCAACCATGACACCAGAGAGGAATAACTTTCTGCCTTCTGATTTTGAGTTCCCAGTCTAGATAATTATCTTCTTTTATTGTAGCCACAAAGAGTAAGCAAATTTATGGAACCTATAGGACTGATCCCTACTCCACTCCCTCTATGCCACTGCTTGTGAGTGACAGAAAGGAAGGAATGAGTAGCAAAATATGTTCTTATAACCCCTACTTGGAAAGTGTAGTGAGGTTCCCACAAGTTCAGTGATTAGAAATGTTATCTGGGGCCTACAACTGTCTAAAATTGGGGCCTATCACTTTACCACTATAAGTTTAAGGTACATGAGTTAAACAGAAATCCGCAGAGTAGCCTAAGAACAAAGCCACCACTCACAGCAATATTTCTGTGGGAAAAACATATTTTACCTACTCTCTCCAATACTCACAAAATGTAATACAATCCTTTGTTTCTGAAGACAAGCCATTATTATTACACTGAGCTCTGTATATGCTTGGCTTTATACCAGCTAGCATGTCCTACATTTAAGTTTTTGTTTACAAAAGAAACAAACTGAAACAAACAATGTCTATGAAGAAACTGAAACTTTATATTGCTATCAATTAAAATCACTACTCTTTAAGCACTAATACAGGAAGATTAGACAATACATACTTAACAGTGTTTATATTTGTAGAGTACTTTGCAAAACATTCTCACATACACACAGGGAATACAAAGATAAATTAAGTCAAGTCTTTGACACTAAACAGCTCTAAGTCTAATGGACTCTACAATAAATCTGGAGGTATTCCCAGAGAAGTATATAATTTGCCCAAGGATACACATTTTATCAAAACTAGAAACCAGAAAACAGAACTTGTGTCTTTCCCTATTGTGTTGCAAGTCCGTTGTTCATTTTCTTCCACAAAAGTTACCTTTATATTCTGTAGCTGTCTGCATGTACCATAGCTTCTCTCTATTTTTTAAGTCCAACATTTTTTTTGTGAAGCTACTGCTTTTTCCACAATCAAACATCTACATCATATAAGCTTCACAGATACATTTAAATTTTAGTTTCATATTTCCTAGCTAGATAAGTATTCTATCCATTTCTGTATAGGGATGTTAAAGTGTATCTTATGATGAGTTTTAACACTAGAAGTAAAATTAGAAACAGAAGTAAAACTGATTAATATGTTGTTTTCCTTTCCTTGGCTGTTAACCTTTGTGTTATCCATACTTACTATACATGTACTTAAAATTATTTACATATATGAAATAAGCTTCTTCCAATTAATAGTCATTGAATATATATCAACCTGTATCAGGAACTGCAATTTATATATGAGAAATAACAACGTCTAAACAGGTGATAGAATACGTCAATTGCTTGATGACTTCTACATCATTTTGTTAAGGTCACAAAAAAAGAAAAAAATTAAGGAGAAAAATAATCATAATGTAATCAGCATTTAAGATAGAGAAGAACAGCAGTAGAGATAATCTGGGACCATACAAGCTCACCAGTTGATAGTGTTCTGGTGGGTTGCAACTCTGAAGCACAGTGCTTTCAGGGGAAATAAAGGACAGTTTTCCCCATGTTCAGAACATACAACACAGGGCAAAAAGGCCTGGTCACAATCTTAAAAACAAAAGTCTTTTGTGGGGAAATGGTAGTAAGTAAGCTTAGACAGCAGAAAACATACTGTGTATTCTTAAGGATGCCAATATCTAGCCAGTAACAGCACATCTTCATCCAGGTTAACAAATCACAGACATATCATTATTAAAAACATGCATATGAACTGCACAGGACTTGAAATGTAAATGACTATGAGAGAGAAAACTAATCTCAACTCACACAATAAAAATAAAAAATATATACATTCTTTTAACACAATTGGGTATAGTGACTTATCCTTCAAAATCCAGCTCAAGTGTAGCCTCTGGAAAGCTTTATCTGGTAAGTATTCCTCTGTATGGCCACATATTTGGTAAACATTTGGCAAATGGACTATTAATATCAGTGTGTTATCTGCTCATGTGTCTACCTGCACCACTACACTCAGAGCTCTCTATAAGTGGGATTCAAATTTCTTACTTCTTTGTGCTCTTTGTACCCTATTGTATGCCTTCCTAGCATGGAAGACAGTAGCATGAATGCAGTATGTGCTTACTGGGTGTTTGTGGATTAAAGAGATGCTAGAAATTCCAAGAATAATGTGGCTGCTGCCTTACTTTGAGGAAGTACAGAATAGCAGCTTACAGTAGGTTCTCAATAACTATTTGCTGATGAAAAAAAAAAAAAAGAATAAATGACATTCGCTTGCCTTTCGTTCATTAGGTCCTGCAAATTCAAGGTCTGCGCCCTAGGGTTCCCTTTGTTCTAACCCAAGGGCATCACCATGGCCTTCTTCAATCCCTTATACTTGTCCTGATTTGTCCTAGCACAGGACTTTGCATATGATGATTCCTCTACAAGAAAAGCTCTTCTCTTACCTTTATCTTCTTTGCAGTCTTTGTCTATACACATCTATTCTCATTGAAACATATGTAGTAACTGCCTACCCCATATTGAGTCTCTCTTATTCTGTCTTGTAGAACCCTACAGTCTGTAAATTGCTGACAGAGTGATCTTTTTAAAAGGCAAACCTAATCATGCTATACCCCTGTTTAACGATATCCTTCAATGGCCCCTTACAGTTTTCAAGATAAAGCTCATACTCTTTGCCTTGCACAGAGGGATCTGCCTATGGCAGATTCTCTGGAGGCTTCACCTGCCATAGAAATGTTTGCTCCACACTACCAAACCGTCTCCTTTTCTTGTATACTTCTCAATGTCTTCTGCCTGTCCTACACGTGGGCTGATATGCTACCAAAACTTCTTTCTTCCTGGCTCTTCCCCCCAGCCTCCCCATTTTTTTAAGTTATCCTTCAAACCCTGGCTCAACAGTTTATC